ATATTTCTTCTTTCTTGTTCATGATTTTTTTTTTAAGAATAGTGGTGGAATTGTTTCCGATCCAAAAGTGACATGAGTGTTAAAGAATTATTCCCAACTTCCAAAATATGCATTATTTCAAATTTCTTACCTATATATTCTCTCTTGAAGGTTTGAGGGGCCTAGACCTCGTAGGTGCTTACGATGAAATAGCGTCTATCAAATATTTTTCGATCATATTTTTTATAAAAAAATAACTATTATTGTAAAGTTTCATGAAACTCTTTGAAAAATTATCAGCAAAATTTGAAATTCTATGATGATAGCTTTGATTATTTATTATATTTAGGGGAATAATCTTCCAACGGAAATCCAAAAGAGGATTTTTATAATTTAGGAAGAAAACGAAATAACTGCACATGTATAGTTGTAGAATAAAGAAATACTGAAATTCCAATAAAGCCCCTCTATACACCTCATTCTTGTTTTTTTTTTTGGTCTAAAATTAATGCCTTCTAGAGCATATTTAGTTATTTCAACCTTAAAGTATTTCTTTTGTGTGAATAGAATCAGAATTAGATGCCACTTGATGGTGGGTTTTATTCACACAAAATACAGTTTTAGCAGAAAAATGTGGGAAAAAAGAGAAAAAAGAAGGTACCCTTACAAAACTAAACTAAAACTAAAAAAAATATTAATAATTGAATCAACTTTCTAATAACCTGAACATTTAAATAATAAAATCAACAATTCAACATGTTCCTAAATTCAGATCTCACTTTATTCTATCTACAGGATATTTTCATGTGCTTAACATATTGAAAATGAAGTAATCCTATATGTGATGAGATGGTTCTGAGATAGATAATCAATCAATAATAATATACAATAATTGTAATGAATATCCTATAGTTTAAATTTTCAAAAGAAGTGCAAACTTCGACGTTTCAGTACATGTATTGATAATTCAGGATATCTATATATGAAATTAATCAGAAGCATCATATTATAATTGGGCAAACTACATAAATCTCACTAGTTTAGGGTCCTAATTACTAAGACTCCCAATAGTTTCAAATATTACTTCCTCTACCATATTTCATGCAGGATACACGAGTTGAAATCCGTGAGATCCATGTATCTGTCAAAATTTACAGCTGAGATACGTATTTTATTTGTTTAAATTAATTGGTTGTAACTGATTTCCTTAATTATAGAAGTAATTAAGGATTTTCAGAATACATGGACAATTATTTTTGAAAATTTAAATTAATCAAAATCCCTTAATGTAAGGCGGAAATCAAGGTATGTTTAATTAATTTAATTTTATTATTTTTTAAAATAATAAATTTATTAATATTATTAATAAAAGATTAAAAAAAACATTTATATATTAGTCATTTAATTTGATTAATTTCATTTTATCACTCTTAAAATAATGAATCCATTAATTTGATGTATCTATTATCAAATATAAATATATGATGTATCCAATCAACTAAACACTTAGATACATGAGCATCATACATGTACATCCATATGTATCATAGAAGTATCTAGATTTATTTAATGTATTTGTTATATGTATCTAGTATTAATTTCATGTATCTATTTATATGA